CGTTAAATCTAAAACATCTATAAAACAAGCCCTGATGATACACACTGCCTTCCATGCAGTTCTTCCATATGGCTCAAGCAAAGTCAACTTTTAATTTCATAACACAAAATATTTAATTTATCCTTTTCTTCATATGTCAATTTAACCTCCAGCACATAACTTTGAAACCATGAAAGGATGTCTAACACTTTCCATATGGCAACTGAATTGTGGCTTTTAATTGCACCAACTGGTATCATTCAAGGATAATTCCCTTGGAATCCAGCTTTCTGCTACAATATTGGCCAATTCACTAATCTCATCACCATGGCACTAATACTTTCAGAGCTGTCAAGATAGACTATGTGCACCACTAATTAAATTATCTGGGTTTGTTGGCACCAAATTATAACACTAAATAAGATTTTGCCTCTCTATCTTCCAATACCAAGTTTGGCAATTTTATTTTAAATACCATACACATAACATTTTATGTATCAAAATATTTTTTCTGTCATGTAAATACATAGCTTGGCTGAGTTCTAAACCTCTCAGTCCATACAAGTAATTATTTATACAATACTGCCACTAGTGTACTTGAAAGTATTTCAGTTTAAAAGATCATCTCAAGCCATCACACAAGGTAGCACCTTAGGAAATTTGTAACTGATCTTATTACCATACTAGCAAGAAGAGAGTTCTTCAAATGTCATTCTATCCATAAAATGAACCCAAAAGCAGTGCTACAATTAAATCTTTCACTTCAGCAGCCTTTAAGACCATAGAGTTTATACAGGCCACTAAAAAGTCTCATTTCTGCTTATCATTTTCACTTTGGATGCGTACTCTATCCAGCTGCACCTCTCATAAGGCTATCCATTTTTACATACACAAACACATACTATCTAACAGTGGGGAATTAGGAAGAACTTTTTTTCTAAAATTAATGAAGGACCATGCAAGAAGAACAGTAAAGCTGAGACTGGCCCCTCGTCCCCCGTTAGTCACGCAAGGAACATCCATTAATGTCAGTGGCAGTTAGAGGCATAGAACAAATGGAGAACAAGCCCCAACTAAGAAACAGCGATTTGCCTCAGCATTTCCCACTGCATCAACCCCAGACCAGATAGTCAACTCTAATTAATATCAATAAAGTTAGAACTGAGGATCACTAGCACCAAGCAGTCCTTTACTGCAGAAATGGTAAGCCAAAGGCTTTCCTATTTCACCTGAAATTGTTACTTGCTACTTGGCTCACTGTGAGCTGGTTTGAAATTTAATTAAAAACAAGTTTTTTTTTCCAGTCCCAAATACTGATTTCAATGAGATGCACAACCAAAAAACTGCAAAATGTCATATGGCTTTGAAGATAAAAATAAATTGAACTAAGCAATGTCATATTTAACATTTTCCCCTCTAGCACAGAACTACTTCTCAGTTAAATAAATAAATACATGTATATTTGCAAACAATGTTGATCTCCAGAAATGGTTTGCAAAAATAAACATGCTGAATAAATTTAAACTTAAGAATTATACAGGATAATCCACAGTGCCAGAAAACCTCTCAATCTCCAGGCACAAGTTAACTCATTCATAAAGCAGCAAAAGAAGTGCATTCACTTGCTCTAACAGATCTACAACTCCAGTGGTTTTAATTAGCTTTGAAAATAGAATCTGACTCTCTTCATGGATGCAACAAAATTCCTCTTTAATTCTCTGTGATGGAGAATGAAAAGGGTGTGACCAGCCCTCAGCCTCCTCAGTAATTAAAACACTTAGAGCAGAGCAGCCCCTGCTGGGCGGGTGGCAATGGCTTAATTAGCCCAGAGCAGAAAGTTGTTTACACACCAGAAGTGCGCATGTTAAATACACTCCCCTCTCTGGATTCATGCCTTCACCCAACAATTTACCACTATAAGATCAATCTCAGATGACAGATGCAGTTTGCAATAGCTGGACACTGATTACTCATATCCCAGTGAATTCGTGCTGGGGAGAAATATATCAGATGAGGGAAGTCTTCTCCAACCAAGAAAACTCAAACCTTCAGTTCAGGAAGGTAACAAGTACTGCATGCTGAAGCCCCTACTTGTGTCAAACGCTCTGTGACCAAACTGACAAAGACTTGCCCTCCACAAATTTTTCATGAGAGTCATCCATGCAAATTAAATCGGACTAGAGAGGAGCACAAATGAAATTTCATTGCTTTCCTATGTTAGTCATTCATTACTCTTTTAAAAGGCTACACGAATCTTCCTGTACTTCAGGGTCATCTCCTCTGGATGACGAATTTACGTGAAACAATTCAGTGTCTCTGTTCTTGAGGGAACCAGTCTTTCAACTGCAACCAACACAGAATTTTTGGCCTATATGGGGTAACATACATCAAATTTCACTATCATATTCAACCTCTAATCAAAATGAGCCAAATCATCAGTTTCAGAAATGGAAGCAACTCAGCATTGTGTTTTACATCAACAGCTCTTTGGAACTACACTGGATTTCACCAAATAGGTGAAATGCTCACGAAATCTTCATCAACAAACATCTGGTTAAGGACTCCTAAAAGGAAAATTATTTCCAGGACCACTGTTGGTTTTCTTGTTGGTTTTTGTTTGTTTGTTGTTTGAACTCAAGTTAATGTTTCTCTTGCTGCAAATATTTTCATTGGTGTTTGATCTAATTCTTTCTGCCATAAATCACAGAAGTGGCAATTAAGATCTATTTCAGGGGAAAGAAGTTCCAAAGAGAAACCAAGTTTTCTAGTCATGACAATAGAGCTGTTCCATTCCACAGAGTCTTACAAGCTAATTGAACATTTTTAAGAGGAGTTTTGAAGCAGTAAGCAGAAGAACCCTTGGCTGATTCAAGAGCAACTACACTATGTCACTGAGAGAACACACAGTGCCACCAGAAGTGACTAGTAGCCTTCCTACACCTAGAGGTGAACGGAGAACCAAGAAGTTAGGCAACAATCCACTTTGAATCTTGGTATAATTATATAAGAGATCAAAGACATCTTAGAAGAGAAACAGTTGTGCAGTCTCATTTACGGAGTCAACAGCTCCATAATCCTTGTCAAAGACTGTACATATGGCACATCTGTTTCCAATGTAGGATTAGAAATGCATCCATATTACCAAAAGTTCGTATTTTAAAAGAACTTCAGTGAAGCTGTCACAGTGTGACTGTGATAGGATGACAAATGAACTGAATCAATTAGCAGGCCATATATGCATGCAGATAGAATCAAATATATTAGCCAATAAATTCCCAATATTTTCAAACATCCTGAAACAGCTTTATCAGGATGACAGTAAAAAGCCTCATGGGAACAGAGCTTTTAAACCTATTTACAGTTTTATAATGTAGTAAAAAATACAGGCTAATTTTTAGTTAATGGCCTGCTAATTGCTGAGCTATCCTGAGGACAACTCGGGATACTTCGCTCTGTTGTCATTCCAGCTGAGCAGACTTCACAGAACTAAAGTTTTCTAAATACCAAAGTATACTTATTATCAAAGATTTTTTTTTTCCAGAAAGCAAACTACTCTCATGAAATACATTCTCATTCTCAAAGCTGAAGTCAGCAATTTAGACGTTTATATTTTAAAACCGTGTTTAGTTTGGTGAGTTCAACTTTCTTTCCAAGAAAACGAGCATGTGAGTAGTAGAACACATCTGAAAAACCTGACTTTCAAAAATGAGGATGATGAAAGATAACTTAAAAGCACATTTTAACTCTTTGCAGCTGTATCACATATGTATGTACCATTACTAATGTCAACATACAGTCTCCAAGTAAAATACAATGGAAATCACTAAAACCAGACAGCTGCAAGGTGAACACCAAGCAAAGCGATCGAGTTCATCATCTACAAGCACTTATTGATATAAGGGCTATCCTACCCTCCTCACCTCACTTCCAGTGATTCTCAAACAATTTAGCCTCCTCTATATACAATACTGAAGAAATCTAAAGAGTTATCAGCTTTTTCCACTCTACGCATCATCCATGCAATTCAAGACCACACCTAACATGAAGTCTGCCTCATCTCTTCTCCAGTTCACAAGTCATTTTTTAGCTCTCTCTCCTTCCCCCAGAAAGAAGAAATGCAGACTTCTGACATTAAAAGTAGTGGCTAACAATGTAGTGAGTCTGTTGGAGGTCTGGTGGCCCTGCTCTACTTGTGCTCTCAAAGCCACATTCCTTGCTGAGAAGCACAGATTCCAATCTCCCCATCTCTCAGGTTACTTTTCCATTGATGCATCTTTCAGTGTTCGATCCAGATCTCATGGAAGTCAATGGGAGTCTTTCAGTAAACATCAATAAATTCTGGATCATACCTTGAAATCATACTATGAGGACCATACTGAGCACAACTGCCTTTGTTCATCTGTTCATCTCCCATCATGCCTTTTTGTTTAAAGGGACAAGCAAACAAAAAGATCAACAAATAGCTTAAACATTTCCTCCAGTGCAGCTTTACATAAGAGAACTGGAGGAAAGAGAAAGGCTGGAAAACGACCAGCATGTGATAACAACCAGGACAAGTGACGTGTGCCCCACACTAACAGCACAGAGCAAGTAAATAACAATAAACTCGTAGGGAACATCTCCTTTCCATAAGTGCTCTGCCAAATCGTGGCAAACTTGTGCATCAATCCGGGTACACAAGCTTGTACACACTGGGTACTGGCTTCTCTCCAGCGATTCTCTGTTCATTCCCGTTTGTGATGGGTTTTGTTCCAATCGTGCCACCCAGACACTGGCAGACAGGTCCCCACCTACTCCCCTGGCTTTTGTACCAGCACCAAGTTTGCTCCGCAGCTCCCAACTTCATCAAAAGACAGATGGAAACCACCCACGAGGCAGCCCCTGGAGCAGCACTATGGTAAAGCAACCCCTGCGTTCGCACAACCGGCCCTCGGGAAGGAGAGAGAGATGGAGAAAGAGCTTTTGGTTTCCCCCGTTTCAGAAAGAAGAAAGGAGGGGGCGCAGCCAGGAAGCTGACATACCCTGCCGCTGGAGAGCCCGCAAGCAGCCCGGTGCTGGCAGCCTTGAAGTCCCGAGCTGCTGCCTCCGCTGCTGCTGCCGCTGCCCCCGGAGTATTTCTGCTTCACCATCCAGTCCTCCAGCCCTTTGCGAGCCAGAGAGGCGTTCACCGCAAAACTATCACCTAGAAAAGAGGAGACAATGCCGCCGCTGAGCCGCCCGCACAGCCCGGCCGGTCCGGGGAGCCCGCAGCGGGAGCGGGACCGGAGCGGGCGGGCAGAGCGCGGCGGAAAGTTGGGGAGAGGGCAGCGGCCGGGGGCAGCCGCGGGGACGGGCATGGAAACGCGGTGAAAGTTACTAGCAGCGAGCAGCCATCCCTACCTTCCGGACTTTCCCTGGGTTTACAAACGGCGGCTAGGCAGATCCAGAGGAAAGTGTGTGAGGGAAATAATAAAGGGAGATCGTTAGACACCAGTATAAAATCACAGCAACAAACCAAGTAAAATCCGAATAAGGGGAAAGGACTGAGGAAGTAGCAAGTGAAAGGAACTAACCATGCTTCGAGTGAAGTTTCCCCATTTCTCTGCATTGATCTGCAATTACGATTCATTTGACTGCTTTCGGTAGGGTCAGGTTCTGTTGTCGTTCTTATTTTTGTAGCTGTATAAAATCCCAGCGTGTTTAGAAATCCATGTGCTCCGCTTCTCCCTGCTAAAGCACAAGCAAGAGCAAATCTCAGCTCCCTCCTGCAGCACGGTCCGGCGTCCCCCTCTCAGCTCCAGCCTTCCTCCTCTCTCCTCTCTTTCCCAAAGACAGAGGCGGTTACAAAAGACCTTACTTCACCCACCGGGGAACATGATTGACACCTCATTGAGATTAGACCACTTGCAGGCAGCCTCCGCCTTCCCATTGGGCCGCGGCGGTACATGAAAGGGACGAGCGAGCCTTTTGGAGGCTCCCCAAAAAAAAAAAAATCTCAATGAGGTGTCAATCATGTTCCCCGGTGGGTGAAGTAAGGT